TATGCTTTTACATTTTGCATTTTAAAGTTGAATTAAAGTAAAACTTTCAGTGAAAAATGTCAAATTTTTCTTGAAACGAATGAAAAAATTTATTGTGACGGAATGTTTTCTTTAAAAAATCGCTATTTTCAATTTTTCATTGTTTTGCTTAATTCTACAATTGAATGTTAAATAGTTTTTTGCAATAACAATCGAAACATTTCAATTAATTTACCTTATTTGTTTCATTAACAATTGGTACAACAGTTGTTAGTATCGGATAAGGTAGCACACAAATATGCAAATATCTCTGGGAATTATCATAAACATATCTCAAAGATTAATCCTACTTTAGCTTTAAATCTTTGTGAAATCATTTCACTCATTTAGAATAATCCAAAATTCCAAATTTAACAAAAGCCAATTCAAAATTAAAATTAATCAAATCAAGAAGAAAAAAAAACTAATTTAAACTCAAAGTCATCCATTTTTCTCTTCCATAGATCCTTTCTTTTTCTCTTTTTTATTTTTTTGAAGAACTAAATTGCATTTAAAACGATTGACATCAAATAATGTGTTAATAGTTCATCAAACTTAATGATATTTCCGGAAAATAAACAAGCGAAAGAGAGAGAGAAGGGAGAGAGAGAGAGAAAAAGAAACGACTGAAAAAAAAAACACTTTTTTTGATATCTTTTCTCTTTCTGACAAATATTTCTGTCATTTTTCGCTAACTTAAAAAGTAACTTGAAGAAATATTTGTATATTATTAGATTTCTTTTAATATATTCCATTTCATTTGAGTAAATTAAAAATTTTTGCATAAATATTCAAAACTATTAATTAAATTGCCTATCAATTATATGAAGTTAGTAATGTTAAATATATTAAATATGTGAAAAATGTTAATTAACTATGTCAGATGTATCACAGTAAATACAATTTTCAATTTGTTTCCGAAAAGTTTGCAATGTAATTAATTTCCGAACTGTTATATTGAAATGGAAATTATAAATTATAAGTAAATGTATCAGATGCTGTGCACTTGCAAATTTTCACCTTTCACTAATTAATGTTATTCAGTTATTTAATAAAATCAATTTGGGCTAACCGAAAAAATTTAGAGAGAAAACGAACGATTTGAACATTGCTTTTCTCAAGGACTAAGGAAATTAATTCTTAAAATTATTCAAATAATAATTTCGTTTTGTTCAATGTATCATTACAAACAAATTACTTCAAACTTTTAACTTTTCAATTTCAATTCTTTCCTTTCAAACTATTCCATTTTCTCGTCGTATATCTTTTTTAATTAGTAATAGTTACTCGCATGCAGCGATCTCTTTTTTCTTCAATGAAAGCGAGAAGAAAAAATAAATCTTCCAGATGGGACTCTAATGAGGGGAAAAAGGATGTGAAATCGATATTTTCGGAATATCAGGAAAAACGGAAACATTCCTATTCCTTCCGTCTGTTTTATTGTGCTGAGGCAATACTCAGTTTATTTTATTTTTTGAAAAACTTTAATTTCCTTTCATTCCTATTGGCTTAGTTTAATGTTAAAGAAAAGGAAGAAGCGGAAATTTCCTGGAAGAATAATTAATTAATTTTACAAAGACAAAAAGACTTTGTTTATTCAAAATAAAAGAAAAAAAGCAATGAATATAATTTCAATTCAAAATTATTAAAGTTTATATTTACTGAGTTTTTTGCTTTTAAATTTCTTAAATCTTTCAATGAATTTGATACCAACTTTCTTAAAAGACTTTTCATTCAGCTAATCCAATGCCACGAAGTTTTCTCAAAATGGTAACAATATGAATTTCTTCAAAAGTATTACCATATTCTTTCAGGAAATCCCGACACATGCACTTATTGTTAGTTATTGAGTTTTTAATTTAAGTTATATTATATTTAATAAATTCCTCATGTAAATGCTTTTCAGATTTTCTTCTTTTTTTGTTATTTGTTATGCTCGTTTTATGTCACAAAATTTCACTTTTATTTAATCTCTATTTTTTTTTAAATAGTACTTAAATTTTTTTTTTTTGACCATGAATGAGTCACAAATCTTGGCTACCATTGGATCCTAATTTTGCACGAAAACTTTGTTTAATGAATTTTGTCTGATTAAATGATCCTAAATGATTTCTTTTGTCAAATGAAAAAATGAATATTTGTTTGGCTAAATTGGGCTGAAATAACAAATAAATTAGGAACTAACGATTAAACGAAATTTGCAAACAAAGCGTATAAATTTCATTTTATCGTTTAAAATAAATTGTAAGTCTTTTGATAAAGCAGTAACTTTTGAAAATTAAGCAATGTGAGCATGAGAAAATTCTTTTGAAAAAAATTTTCAAATATAAGTTTTTTTTATAGCTGTGTGAATGATATAACTGATAATCTGTAGAAAACATATTAACACATTAAAATTTTTGAAACTTTAAATTTAAAACAAATTAAACTTGAATTATTATATGAGAAATATATAAAACAAGTTAATATTATTAGTATCATCAATGAATTCAAGTTAATTATTAGTGCCATAAAAAATTGAAAAATTTTTATCATTAAGTGATAATATTATCTCACCTATATTATATAATTATCTTTTTTCCCAATTTCTGTATTATCTTCTGAAATTCTTCCAACAAACTAGTATAAATATATCGTATGAAATAAAAATATCACTGTGCCAGTGAAACTTGATAGAATCCTATAAGTATTAGTGTATCTCTACAATTACTGAATGTTCATCCAGATACAGGTATCCGGAAAATCAAACCGTACCGTACATATCAGGGAAATACCGTCCGTATCTTTGTGATTATGAATGATACGATTCGTTCGATCTTGCATAATATTTATTCCACTTCGGTGATAACTGCATGATAAGGTCTAAAAGGAACATTATTTTGTATTACTGACATGTTAGTAACAGTGTTCTGGTGAATCAGGAATGAATGGAAAGTTGGAAAAACTCAAATTAAATAATTTAAATAATGGACGATTTTTCAGGATTTCATTTCTTTTTCTAAAATTCAATTTTCGATTAACTGTCCGACTTTTTGACTCGTATTTTGAGCTTCTTTACTCTTGAAGATTTGCAATACTGTGAACAAAGACTTTCAAATAATTGAAATTTATTATGTTACGTTCTTAAATTCTTATCTTGTTAAGTACTGAAATTCAAAATTAAAAATCTAGCATATGCAAAAAATAAGTAGATTACAAAAATAATTCGGAATAGAGTTTTGGATGATTAAATTTTGCTTATCACACTTCAGGATGATTAAGAGATCAACTTAACGATCTCAAAATCATCCGGAAAATCGTAACTATAAAAAGAATTTATCTGTCAAATAAAATCGATAACTACATTAACACAATATAAATGAAGTAAATGAAGCAATAAAGATCAATAAACGACGGCAATTTTATCGTTCTGCTGCTGGCATTCAAAAAATGCTAACTTTTTTCCGGCTTAGTGTCATTGTTACTCGTTTTATTCATTTCAGCTAATTAGTAATGACAATAATGACATTAATGACAGTTGTAACAATAAATTATGAGATGTTATAAAACAGGATTGTGTAAAAGTTTTAAGATTTCTTCTGGTACTGCTAATTAGTTTTTTAAATAAAGGAAAGTGATGAGAAGACATATCTATGATCAGTTATTCATGGAATAACAAAATTGAATTTGCCTTATCAGTTTGATTCCAATCTGATAAAAAAAAATAATCGAGTCGATTGTTGATATCTTGTATAAAAGAAAGGAGAAAATTGTAAAAAGAACTGAATCTCATTTTAGTTGAATTAATGGAACTAACGTTACAAAATGTATATGTTAATTACTTGCATCGAATTGAGGAAAAACAATATCAAAGAAAGATTATTTAATTAAAGATATTTGCCACGGATTAAATATGAATTTCAAGTAATATAAATATGACGGTTTGATGAATAATCGTGAAGCAGTATTCTGAATAATTTATTACGAAGAACAATAAAGAACAATAAGAATTTAGGGACTATTTTTTAGATAATTGAAGTATTTTAATAAAAAAAAAAAAAACATATAAAGTTCTAAAATTTGTTTATGGAAATTTTTTAACAAAATTTTTCCTCAGAAAATTCAAAAACTTTCCTTAGAGTCAGCAGCATATAAGTTAGTTCACAAAAATCCATAAATACTATGTGAAGTATGAAAAATACACGCGCAGGAAGAGTTAAATTGAAAAAAATTTGACTACTTTTTTTTTCGATTTGAATGCATTCAATTTAAATACATTTAATTTAAATGGACAAAATGTGAAAATGTGTATTCATCTATCTAAAAATTCATTATTTAATTAAAAATTATAATTAGAAACTCATTAATAATTAAAAATTATAATTAGAAACTCATTAATAATTAAAAACTCGTTAGTTAATTATTCCGTTTAATAAAGAGAAAATTATTGTATCAATAAAAAATAATTTTATCATTTAAAAAGCAAAATTTAAAACAAAAGTGAAAAAAGATTCAAATCATACATTACCCATGCAATCATAGGAAAGAGACGGAAAGATTGCAGATTGCTTGTAAATGGAAGAAAAAATGATATCGACTGGATAGATAATTCTTTTATAGTTAATTGTGTTGATAAGATTGTTATGTGAATGTGCTTAGAGTTTATAATAATAATAATTATTCGTCTTTTTCTATGTGAAATGTTTATTTCTAATATTAGGTATGGGTGAATTGTGCATTAGAGTCGTTGGAGTTTATCATTTTAATTTCAGTAAAAATGCTATTTGATATCGTTGAGGTTACTATTTATTTGGCATACTTGAAAGCGCATCTGCATGACGAACCTTTTTACCTTCGGATGTTGGAGAAGTTGAAGTTTATGCAGGGCATCTAATATGTTTAGTCGTAATTTCGGATTACATATGGTATTGTTTATTGAACTTGCTGGTTGGCAACCGTGACTGGTATGGTTTTTTAGATAATGCACTGAGAGATAGAAACGGATGCAGCAGCAGATACAGGTAAACAAACTATTAGTCAGCGAAGCAGTACCTTGGAGGAGGAAGAAGAGGAAGAAATGGCGGAGTGGGAACTACTGTCACATGAACTGTTGTTCAACGAGAACAGTTTTGACACGGCATCAACAATCGCAGAACATAGGTAAAGCACGGGAAAGTAAGGCGATGTAAGTTCCATTTGTACTGTACAAATCTGGTGAGAAGTTTAGTTCGTATATCAGTATGAACTCTTTAACAAATGAGCATGTTAAATGAAAAAGTATGCTCATAACAGCTAGTGGAAAACTTTCAAAGAGTTAATAAAATGCGCAAAACATTAACTTCTGGTAGTAGTATTCTTGGTAAGAATAAAAACGGTTTTTGAAAGTTTCGTTGATCAACAATTAACTTAAAAAAAATTCTTTCTATGGAATTATTTATTAATGATGAGTTCTACTTGAAAAATTTGATATATATGATATTTTAAAATATATTTCAGACTTTTGTCAAAGATGTGGCCATTTTAAGATGTTGCATCTCAGTTCACTCGAGGAAATAACAGCCACAATGGAGCATTGGAAATTTCCCTGAAACTTCCCTCGTATTCCCTGGAATAGTGCCATAAGGCAACGAAGACTGTTATGAATGAAACAGTCATCAAGCAACGTAGATAAAAGCGAAGAACCTAAACATCGATGGTAGGCGAAAAAAAAAGTTTTTTTTTCTGATTCCAAGTGCAAGATATTATTGCCTAAACATTAAATTTATTTTCCACCTGGTTAATCTTGTCTTTTTTTTTCAGATGCACTGCAATAAGACAAATTCTACCCATGCCGCCAATGAAAATATTTTTTCGCGATTAAACGAAGAGCCATCTTTCTAGAGTTGATCTCTGCGTCGCTCCGATATTGAAGTACGTCACTATATCACTTCATGCAAATACTCTGATCTTGAAGTACGTCACTATATCACTTCATGCAAATACTCTGATCTTGAAGTACGTCACTATATCACTTCATGCAAATACTCTGATCTTGAAGTACGTCACTATATCACTTCATGCAAATACTCTGATCTTGAAGTACGTCACTATATCACTTCATGCAAATACTCTGATCTTGAAGTACGTCACTATATCACTTCATGCAAATACTCTGATCTTGAAGTACGTCACTATATCCTTCCTACAAGTAGCCTAGCAAACTTACTACTAACTACTTAATCTAATCTAGACCTTTGAAATTTTTTTGCCAGTTTTTTTTTTTTTTTCTAATTATGCCAATAATAAATCTTTTTTTTTCCTTTCGTAATTTTTCAAATCGAACAAAAATATTGACTTCTTCAAATGTTTTTGCATGTTAATAAAAAGATATTTTCGGTTGATCTTTAAAAAATTTGGATTATAATAATACATATATGGGCTGGCTGTGTAGTGAAAATTTTTGAAGATTTAAAAATAGTATTTTTTGGAGACGTATGGATTTCGAGGAGATTCGCTGGATGAGTTGTGGAATAATAGAGGAACATAATAATTCTTTTATTAACAAAAATAATAATACAATAATTTGACAGAGACGAATCGTAGTTGTATCACAAAGTTGTCGAGAGGCAAACAGGGTAATCATCTCTTTTTGACCTCTCTTTGTTCTGAGATCAAAAAAACAATGCTCCCCTTTTTGGCGCTTGGTGAAAACAATGTCGCCTTATTAGTGATCTCCTTATAGCAAACAAAGTATATGTAGTAGATAAAAAATATTACATGAGAGTAATCAATCGGTCTCAAAACAAAAGGTTACTTGTAAAATTTCATACAATATTTCTTACTCTCATATAGTAGTTTAGTGTTTCGGTTGTACTTATTGTTCTGTTGCGATTTTTGTTTTTGTTTTTTTCTACTTTATTTTCGCTCATAATCGTTGAAATAAACTTAAAAACAAAAATTGATATGGATGAACTATACAAAAAGCATCATGTAATGTAAAAGTCAACACTGATAATAAAAAAGCAAACAGAAATAAAGTCAGAAGCAAATAATCATTTTCTAATAAAGTGGAAAAAACGAAATTGTTAAACAAAAACAAAAATTGCAATGGGACAAGAAGTATAGTTAGTCCTTGTTCGAAATTTTTAAAAGATCAAACCATGTGAGGAAATAATTTTCCGAAAATATCTTTTTATTAACATGCAAAAAGATTTGAAGAAGTCAATATTTTTGTTCGATTTGAAAAATTACGAAAGAAAAAAAAAACGATTTATTATTGGCATAATTGAAAAAAAAAAAAACTGGCAAAAAAATTTCAAAGGTCTTGATTAGATTAAGTAGTTAGTAGCAAATTTGCTAGGCTATTTGCATGAAGTGATATAGTGACGTACTTCAAGATCAGAGTATTTGCATGAAGTGATATAGTGACGTACTTCAAGATCAGAGTATTTGCATGAAGTGATATAGTGACGTACTTCAAGATCAGAGTATTTGCATGAAGTGATATAGTGACGTACTTCAAGATCAGAGTATTTGCATGAAGTGATATAGTGACGTACTTCAAGATCAGAGTATTTGCATGAAGTGATATAGTGACGTACTTCAAGATCAGAGTATTTGCATGAAGTGATATAGTGACGTACTTCAAGATCAGAGTATTTGCATGAAGTGATATAGTGACGTACTTCAAGATCAGAGTATTTGCATGAAGTGATATAGTGACGTACTTCAAGATCAGAGTATTTGCATGAAGTGATATAGTGACGTACTTCAAGATCAGAGTATTTGCATGAAGTGATATAGTGACGTACTTCAAGATCAGAGTATTTGCATGAAGTGATATAGTGACGTACTTCAAGATCAGAGTATTTGCATGAAGTGATATAGTGACGTACTTCAAGATCAGAGTATTTGCATGAAGTGATATAGTGACGTACTTCAAGATCAGAGTATTTGCATGAAGTGATATAGTGACGTACTTCAAGATCAGAGTATTTACATGAAGTGATATAGTGACGTACTTCAAGATCAGAGTATTTACATGAAGTGATATAGTGACGTACTTCAAGATCAGACTATTTGCGTGAAGTGATATAGTGACGTACTTCAATATCGGAACGACGCAGAGATTAACTGTAGAAAGATGGCTCTTCGTTTAATCGCAAAAAAATATTTTCATTGGCGGCATCTTATTGCAGTGCACCTGAAAAAAAGACAGGATTAACTAGGTGAAAGATAAATTTAATGTTTGAGATAATCATATCTTGCACTTGGCATCAAAAAATCTTAAAATGGCTGCATCTTTGACAAAAGTCTGAAATGTATTTAAAATATCATACATATAGATATTTTTCAAGTAAAACTGATCATTAATAAATAATTCGATAGAAACAATTTTTTTTTAAGATTAATTGTTGTTCAAGTTAATGTTCAAGAATCTGGAAATGGAAAGATGTTCAGCTTGTTCAAATTTTGGGAAATTTTAATAATTATAAATGTTCAGCTATGAAAATATTGTCAATGTTGTCATTTGCTAAATAAATGATAAATAAATAATATTGGTTTTCGGCATTCTTAAATGATTCAAATCTATCAGCCCAAACAATGGTACCAAGCAAAAAGCGCACAACATTTAGACAAAGTACCAATGATAAATGCACGCTCATAACGTACAAGTATTTTTTTTAGACTATAATAAGTAAGCAGGAGGCACGTCATGTTTCTTCCTGCAAGCTAAATTTCATTTAGATATTGAATGTATTTTAAACATTAAATGTTTACCTTCGGATTTTATGTTTCACTATTAGATTCGAAAAAAAAAACTTCCAATCTCATTTTGACGTTGGCATTTTTAAAACATTAAAAAATCTAATGATGAAATTATAAATTGGTTGTTGCATTTTGAAAATAGCATGACGATGGTGCAAAGCATCTGATTCTTATGCACCTTTCCTCATGTTTATCGAAACTGTTTATCGTTTCCGTCTGGTCTCGAATAAATTCTTTAGATGCGACTTTAGAGGTCAAAAGAATTGAATACTTTGCCAGAGTTTGGCTTTGCAAATACAATGTGACCAGAAGTGCAACAGAATATTCTACTGAAATTTCAAAGTTTATTGATGTTACTGCAATTGTTCACCTGATTTATGATAAACACATATAAAACTAAACATGCCAAGTAATTAATTGTAATAAGCAAAAACCAATTAATGTATTTCAGGTAAAGAAAACTGAACTAATCTCCAAAATTTATTGGAAACTCTTTGAATCTAAACCAAAAAATTACATATGATGAAAACGTTAATCAATTCCAAAGAAATCGCATGAAAACGAATGCAGTTTATTTGTCATTTTATTACTTCGATTAAATATCTTCAGTTTTTTTTGAATGGGAATGTTCCTGAAGCTTCAATCAAGAAAGGCATTAATTATTTTTATTTCAATAATAAATAACAATAACAAAAAGGCTTTATTAAATATGAAAATCAGTCAATCAAATTATGTAATATGAACAGGTGGCTATTATCGATGAAACAGAGGAAGAACAGGAATAATCAAAATTAAGATTTATGTATCTTCGATTCTAAAATATCTTCGACTCTAAAATCCATAGGAAAAAACGAATTTACTTGCCAATTGCTAATGTGACTTACAAAACATATATTAATTAGTACCTCAAATTATCACAAAGATCAGGTTTTCCAATGTAATCTAGCCAATGATAAATGATAAATCCCATAAATTCGTCATAATATTTAAGTTGATAAAATAAAAGTCGAGAACGGATTACAATCATTTTTAATTTCCATGAGTATAATTCATATGCTTGCAGATGTTTTCATCTGTGATAATTCCGGGAAAACATTAATTTATTCCAGTAATAATTTTTTTTGCAAAATTGTCTTTTTTTTCTTCAATCATTTATACTAAAGATTAATTTTTTTCCTCATTAAATAATACAGCTTCATCTTTTTCTCAATCAATACTATGGTTTGATTTTGAAACACTGAAAATTAGTTAGATGAAAAATTGGTAAATACTGATTTGATAAATCCTTTCATTCAGCAAGGATAGAGAATATCCTCAAAATTGATAATTCTAGGAAAACATTAATGAAATTGAAAAAAGCATTGCAAAAGAAAAAACATGCCAGACTATTTTCTTCATTTCTCATTTATAGAACTTTGAATCTGTGAGAGGCTTCAATAACCACAACCATAATACAAAACCAAGAAGATAAGAAAACCAGAGAAGAATACGCGTTGAACGCTTCGGATACGCATCAATAAGTGGTAGAAGTGGTAAACCCATATTGTTACAAACTGAATGACTTACAATCGGTGCCAATATATGACCTAAAATTAATTTATTCTCAGTCATTAGCACCAAAAAAGAAATCTAAAAAAAAAAAAAAAAAAAAACATAAATACATAAAGTTCCTATAATAAAAGAATAATCCATTGGAACAATTTTTTGAGGTTCGGAATAAGTGAAAATGATAACAAAGAGCATTTCCAATTTCATGACAGTATAATTATATTTAAATATATGATATGAAATACATGATAAGACGATTTAAGAGAGTTTAAATTTACCATGTTTGATTTAATAAGAACATATCTATGTGTCTTACGTAATCTAAGATCGATTCAAAATACACTCACGAAATTTCGAATTTCCAAAATTTTTATCTTAAAAATGATAAAAGATACCTGTGCGAACGAAAAGGAAGGTTGCATATGCACCAAAAAAATATGAATAGGATGTTTGAAATGCTGGAAATAAAAATGAAATAAATGAAAGAAAAAGAAAAACAAAATAAGCAATTAAAAGGAATGATTAAACATATTGTAACAAATAAATAAGTAAAAATAAAAATAAACAAGTAAAAAAAAAAGATTCCTCATTTTTCTTAATAATATAAGTAATGGTTACTTCTAATCTTATATTCATCCGAATAAATAAACTTTTTTTGCTTTTATCTATTCAGTAGATATGTTATAGTTTCTAGAATAAAATTATTTGTTGAATCATCAGGATGCTCGAACTAGCATCTATTCAATAAATCTTTAATAGAACATATCGACTAACGTTGTCAAAGCAATATTTTAAGTAGAGTTTGTATTAACATTCGAAATATAAGATATTGCGATTGAAACAATTTGTATATAACCTTATTAATGATCATTTTGTTTCATTATATCACAAAATTCAAACTACCTCTACGATTGATTGCCTCATATTTGGTATAACCTTTCTTCATATCATCAAAAATATGATGAAGATGACTGAGAGCGAATGGCAATGGTGCAACAAATATTGTTACAGTTGATGATAAACATTGTAAAATTAAGGTTGATGCACAAGCACGAAATGCTACCTCTTCTGTTACCGGTGCCTTAAAAAAAAGAGAGAAATATTTGAATAATTTAGCTGTTTAAAAAAGAGAAAAATCATTAACTGTAATAGCGATAATTCTTTTCTAACTTACTAATAAAACATCCCGAACCCATACAATATTTCCAGCATTTCGTTTTAATTCATCCAAATCTGAAAGATCAAAAAAAATAAAGGTTATTATTTATTAAAATTTAATTAAACCAAGTACTGTTGAAACAAGTTCAATTTATTGTATCGTACACATTCGGACTCCACATATATTCCATGAATTTTTTTAGGAGTAATAGCATGAAAATAAACAAAATTAATTGTTGTTTTAATTATAAGTTAATCAATAGATAAATAAAACAAAACTGAAGTGAATTAATTGCTAATATCACTTATCACTAAGGAATTTGATCGAATATTTTTGATGAATGGTTGTTTAGTACTATTTTCGTCTCATTTTCTTTTTTTGATTCTGATAACAACAATTTTAAAAGTAAAAAAAAAAATTAAAACACTAACGAAAGAAAGACCAGAAATTATTATCAATGTAAATCATGACCCAGTTGCCCAAATAGCAAATACATGTTAACAGCGTAGGTAATATACATGCTGGGTAAATACCTCGAGTATGTATCCCCATCACTGACAAAGGTGACTCATGATGCTAAATGAAAATAAACAAATGATTTTTTAATTCATTATGACAGCTAACATATTATATTACTGTCTCTTCTACTTGGTCGTTTTTTTTTCCTTTAATTTCCTTTAGTTTCGTATACTTTATTTGCAGTTTTTCATAACGATTTAAAGTCAAATATCTCTTACTTAACTGACTTATAAAACTTTAATGAATTATCAAAGAATAAAAATAAAACTATAGGACTGTAAAATAACTAAACTATCACTTTAAGGTTTTCTAGAAAATAAAACTTGTTTTCTTTGTTGTTTTTCACTAGTTTGTTTTATAGTAGAATCTAAGTAATATTGCATGATAAGTTTTGTTATTGTATCAAATAGGAAGATAAATTATTAAACAAAAAAAAAAAAATTTATTTAAGAGCGATTGAAAAAAAAAAAAGATAAATGTGAAATTAATGCTTATTACCTTGCATAATACAGCATATGTGCATGTAATACTGATAATATTATTTAGAACAGCACCAAGCAAACGTCTTTTGATACTATGTGGATCATCTCGATCAACGCCATAAAAATCAAATGCATAGAGAAGTCCAACATAGGATGACGAGATCACTGTTGCCAGTGATAAGTACAATAAGATGCTCATCACTTTAGCATAATTTATCTCTTCAATACTACATCCTGAAAATGATTAAACAAATTCCGACATTTATAAAATCAAGGTTATTATGATTCATATAACTAACAAAATCCGAATAATATTACATAACAAATGATAAAACATAACAATAGTTCAATCATAAGACGAAAATAGTGCTAATTATGTAATTAACCTTGAATAGTCTAATATATTGATAATGTTATCAGCAAGAGTACAACAGTTAGATAATTATAAATATCATAAATATTAATTTCAAAAATATTTATCTAATTTCCAGATTTGTTAATGTAAGGGATGTAATTAAGCATAAGAAGATTTCTTCTTAAAAAAAAAAAAAAAAAGTTTTCAAGAAACTTGCTTCTAAGTCTTTTGGTAAAACGGGAAGAAAAGAATGAAGAAATTTGTGAAGAAATTTGTGATAAACAAATTTAAAATAATACAAAACAATTTGCGCACTTAGTTCTATAAGAAATTTTTGTTCTACAAATGAAAATTTGAGGAAAAAGACATATTTAAAATTTCAAAATTAAAATAAGTCCAAATTCCTTACTTTTCGACTACTTTGTTATTTAATTTAAATAACTAATGTTTAATTGATTAATAAAATAACGAATATTTTCTACTGTTTAATCATCAAAAAAACGAAAAGAAACATGCATCGCCATGGCAACATTTATACATAAAGATTGTTCGAGAAAACATAACGGATATTTTACTTCAATTATAAAAAAATAAATCTATAAAATGGTAAATAAATCAATATACAACAAATTCAATACAGTTCTAAAGAAAGTTTCTGGTCAAGGCTATTTTTCACTAACAATTTACTAATTTATATTAACTCTGATAGTAGAAAAAAATTGCCTTATAAATAATGGTTGTTCGAGAAAACAAAAAACGTCTACAACGGATTTTAATTTCAAAATTTACTTCGGTTTATGACAAGCATAAAAGAATTCGAGGTTTAAAAGAAGTTTCAAGAATAATAATTGTATATTGACGGCGGAATGGTGAAGAAGCATGAAATATGAAAAAATATAGAAATTAATTTTTCTTCCGGATTTGCATATTTAAAGAAATAAAGAAATGGAAATTTTTCGTAAACCAAAAAGTCAATTTGCTTATTTAAGTCTATGTCAGGATTTTTTAGTTGAATGACTTAAAAATATTTTTTCTTCAAGAAAAAAAAAAAATTAAATCCTTTTCTCCTCTAAAATTGCTCACTTTTCCATGAAATAAACGCTAGACAATCGATAGGAAAAAAAAAATATAGGCTATAAAACTGATAAATTTAATAACTTTTAAAATATTGTCACGGAACAGTAAGTGTAAACGAAAATATGTTTCAGTGAGTAAAATGAAGAAAACAGACGAAGTTTTTGTTCCGATCAATTTTAATCAGTTTTTAAAGATAACGATCAGTTTACTATCAAAAGAGAAAAAAAAAAATGAAATGCATAGTTAATCAGACAGAAAAGTTCATTCCGTTAATCTCCTAGAATAATTTAATGAGCAATTTATCAAAAAAAGGATTTAAGAAATGCGGAAATCAAGTAGCGTTATTAATACACTGAAATTTTATGAAAAAAGATTTAGCATAAAATTTATAAGACAAACTGAAAAATAATCACAATAACTTTTTCATTTCACAAAATAATTTACAATGAATTTGAAATGGATTATTAGTAATGAGTAAACTATGAGGATTTAATCACTTATAATTAAATTGATTATTCTGTTAATTTTATAATTGTATTAAATAATATTAATTAATAGTTAAATAATAATAAATAAATAATAATAGATCAACCAAGTAAATCGTAATAAATTGTAATTAATTAGACTCCGTGTAAAGCATGATGAAGTAAATTGTGCAAACTATATAACATATATCAACTATGAAAAATAGCACAAATTTTAATATGATATTAATTATATAAATTTTTTTTTGGATTGAAAAAAAAAATTATCTTAAGATTTAAAAGAAAAATTTTTTTGAAAAGAAAGTATGAGCATTTCTTTTTTTTTTTTCCTCAAATAAATCTTTTAAAAATTTAATTAGTAGCGTGAATGTATTCAAGAAAGAAAAAAAAGCATGTATGTAT